CTAGAGATCTAGAGAAAGAGGAGAGATTCTGTGGGTTGAGCTGGTTTCCCAATTACGTGAGTTGGCAATAAGGCAAGGAAACCAGAACTAGTTTGGTTTTCTCCAGTAAATCTTCCGGAATTTTCAAGTACGTTCTATCTACAGGTGACCAGCAGCAGAACGCGGCAACTATGGGAATCGTTCAGGGTCAGCATAGGATGGTCTCAATAGGGTGATGGCTTTTACGGCTCACAGTTGATATCTTTCCTTTTTGGTCACAGAAAACTTTTTGCGGTTATTTTTTGTTACCACTAGCGGTTAAAATTTTGGCCAATTTATGGTTAACGGTTAATATTTTTCCATTTCTGGCACCAGAAATTCTTTTTTACGGTTAACTGTCTTTTACGACTAGCGGTTAAAAGTCTTTTTTATTCTAACACCTAACGGCCGGATAATTTAGCCGTTTACGGCCAACAGTAGTCTCGTAACCGGACCTTTCACGGCCAAGCGGTTGTAAATTTCAGTTTCAATTAGTAGGATCTGGTTACGAGATTAGGTTAACGGTTAACCCCACTGAGACATTCATGTAAGGTAAGGTGAATTGTTCACAAACAGTCAGTTTGATTAGAATCCACATTGCGTCATATTATCATACACACAACTCTCTAAATCTGCCAATATTCTTATTGTGGTGACGATTTTAACCTGAGCAGTGTAATAATTCAAATCAAGATAAGCTGAACAGAGAACCGCATACCTTCATATTTAGTATTTAAAAACTCTCACAGCCTGTTGAGCTCAACGATTGTAAAAACAATTTACTGCCTTTTTTGAAGGAGGTCACTTACCTTTGTGAATGCTAATGACCTCGTCTATCTTCTGTTACGGCATGGATTTAAAGAAGGAAACAATCCGTGGCTGCTCGCCATTAGGAAAGAACTAATTTAATGGGAAAAGCGTAGGAGATTTTTATTGTGCTCTGTGCGAACGCACAATGTTGCACCGAAACTGAAGATAAAAGGTTCAGCATGAAATTGTTGCTCCGTAGGGCCCGCGTACGAAGACTTTCCATCATATAAAAGTTCAAGTTTACTACATGTGTCTGCACTTAATGGTGTCTTATAATTAGCCAATTGAGGAGAACAGCTTGAGACTTGAACCGATGACGGCGACGAGGAAAACTACATGTGCGTTCAGCTCATTACTAACATAATTATTACTATTCAGTTTTTAAAGATCTGATATTCAAAAGCAAAAGGGGTCATGTTTTTAATTGTAAAGAAAATGTGGAACTGTGTTGGTGGAAGGTTTTTCAAGATGATTTGCTCTTACTAATTCCGTGAGTTGATTATGGAAATTATCCAGCGTGAAGAGTTTCTAAAGCTGACGTTTAAGCGTTAGCTTTCCGTCAGAGAAAATGATAAAGGGCTAACGCTCGAAACGTCAGCTTCAGAATGTCTTTACAATGGCCAATGTATATTATCAACTCAATTGATATATAAAAAAGTTATTTTGATATTCTCAAGGTTCTTTCAAAACTTCCTGTACCTTGGTGAGTCAAATTATTATTTAGCTGGAGCCAGAGTGATTCCCTGCCAGAATTGAAAATGTTAAACCTCAAAGTCATGGATTCTTCTACCTTGAAGTTTTTACTCTGTGTTTTAAGACCGAAATATATCCTGAATTCTTTAAGCAAACAGAGACACGCGGTGGCGCAATCATTTAGCGAGCACGCTATCTCCGCTGGGGTCGAGTTCTTGGATAAGACATAAGATATACTCATAGCGTCTTTCCTCACCCAGGATGGGTACAGGCGAATTGTCGGGAGAACTTACGAAAAGAATCGTAATAGAATAGAATAGAATCATCTTCTTAGTCTATTTTAGCAAAGCGACGTACCCGGGTTTTTTCCCTTTTTTGTCTTAAGTCCCAGATGCATAGATCGAAGACGAAAAAAACTGGTCTGTAAATAAAAGCTATTCAAAAGGTGACAACAGGAAGTTTTGTTTGTTATCAAAACATATAGTTCTGTACAAATTAGAGCCATGATAGAACGTGGCCATCTTAGTTTGCTCCTTTCAGGCAACCTTTGTCCCCTAAAAACTTGTAAGATGGCTACCCCAAGCTCAAGCATCAGTCGGTGTTGAATTTTATTAATTGCCTCGGTCCTTTTTTATCTTTTTTAGCGTTTTCAATTGAGACTGTAGACGAATGACTCGGAACGATGTGGCAAGTATCTTATAGGGTGGTAGATATCCAACAAGTTACTTTTAAATGTCTCCTTACTAGCGTGAAAGCCTGCGCTCCAAAACTGGACTATGAACTCTGATCACATGACAGATACAAGTTAAGCACGCAATGCCTAATCATCCAAGCAATTAGACATGCTAAAATATCCATGAGTATATCATTTAAGCGTTAAGGAGATTATATCGTTATTTCAGACTCAGAGGATTGAAGTGAGTGTAATTGAGTAACATGGGATCTGTTCTCTGGTAGAACACTGGCGCGCTAGTCAGCGATCAGCATTTTTCATATGTTAGCTGCACTTGTGTCTTTGCTAACAGCTGTATACCAAATTAACATCTCATTAGCTGAGAGAAATCCATCGGTGAAGGTGACAAGTAATTGCGATAAAATAAGTGGGAGTAAATTAACACTCGCCATTGTTCCAGACAAAGCCGGGCGGAAATGATGAATACATTAATAGGTGAATTAAAATGAGGCCGAACAAAGTAAAGGTTCACTTACTCAGCGGTCACTGAATCATCAAAACGTGAGCAGTGAAACCTGAGATAAATAAGACTGGATCGATCCTCTGAAATAATTGTTCATTGTTCAGGTCCAGTGGTTTATCTTTCAAGACAGGAAGTGCGTTTTGACATGCCTGTTAGTGAAGTGTCCAGTCGACGAAGCTCTGTGGCGGCGGATGTTCAGAACAAACCGGCAACACTGAACATACAAGAGCCCGTCGCCAGACAGATTCGTACGCTGTCAGCCACCTCCAAGGCCAACGCAGCAACCAGACGAAAATCCATGAGTCTGTATTCCAGATCACATCAAGCCGGCCAAACCGAGCTTCCGCATCAACTGGCAGCGAAGATTGCCAATACATACAAGTTACGTCCTGATGCGGACAAACGATTTCGCTGTAACGACGTCAAGGATGCCATAGACAGAGTCCTGGAAAGCCACCTTAAGGAGCTTCCATATGATCCTGAAAAATGTAAGAGCCTGCTTCCCTGCATCGCAGACGAAATCAAGGATAAAGTGAAGGTACTTGGTTTTGAGAGATTTAAACTTGTTTGTGTCGTGACCATAGGACAGTTGAATAACCAAGGAGTACGTGTGGCAAGCCGGTGCCTCTGGGATGTTGAAACAGATCGCGTGGCCTCATCATCGTTTTGTGGCAATGATCTCTTTGCTACAGCAGCAGTGTTTGGAATTTATCGAGAATAAACAGTTTTTATCGCATGCGTGATACTAAAAAAAAATTGATTTAAGTAGTGCGTGAGTGCTTCTGTTGTGATGATTAAGTTTCCTTTGTTGTTTGGAGATATGTTGTTTGGGGTTTTTTATTTAAGCTTTTATTTATAACAAAAAGTAATTTAGTATACAAACCTTAGCTGATACAATGTTTAAAATCTAATTGGAGCGTCTCTTTTAGCCATCTCAAATTTTCAAGTATCAACCGGTTTGCAACGGTTCAACAGGGTTTCCGATCACTTAGGGAAAGATCGGATCACGTTTACCCGGTGATATTCAATAACACAATCACTTTGATAATGAGGATGAGGTTCTTCGGAAGTTGTTGAGAAAAATTTTGGTTAATTTAGACTGCATGTTCGAGAATCACCGAAGACGTTTCGATATCCTCCGTTAGGGTATTTTTGAAAGAAATGTGTGATTGTTGACACGTTCCAACTCCGAGTTATGTAATAATGTTCTTCATTCATGGCGTGACTTAGAATTTTCACTTACAATGTCTTCAAGAAAGCTTGGTCTCAAAATAAGAAAATTAGAAAAGACCAACGGAGGGGTCTGCCAATTAAAATAGTAAACCATTAATTTTCATGATATTTAATTTAAGATTATAGAGAGAGTTAGGAAGATGCTTGGTATCATTTGTAGGTGATCATGTCTGTCGTATTCTCAACGGCATCTGTGTGATATGATGTTCAGGTTTGGTTATTACTAATCTTCAAGATATTGTTTACAAAATTATTGGTGGGGACTCAATTGAGAGATAGTTCGTGCGTCGTAGTTTACGGCTTAAACGTGCGATCTCCATGGAAACGATAAGCCAACAGAAGTTTAGCATTGTGTGACAATGTGAGGCATGTGACGTTGTGTAAACATTTAATTATTTCAGAACTATGTGGCATAGATATAAAGCAATAAAATGGTTTGAATTTGTTTCAGTTAAGTATTATGTTAGTGATTTGCAGAAGAACCTCAACCTTAATTTCTGTACAGGAAACAAAAGCAAGACTGAGACGAAAAATTTCGAGTGAATTTCAAGTTCATCTCAAACTGTCCCAAACTGCAGCTGTGTTAAACTGCGCACGGAAACAATCCGTATTTGTTATATACTTGTTTTTTAGTTATATAGGGATGTTGCTCTTGACAATTAAAAAAAAAAATTCAAAGCACAAACTTAACAAGAAATCACGTATTAGATAGATCAGGCTTCTTAAATGTGAAGACTAACTTCTTTTTCCAATTCTTAAAATTTTTCGCTTACGATCGAGGTGAAAATAAGAGTGGACTGTCATTTTTCTTGGCCACGATATGTCACTCAGCGGGCAGGAAAACGGTATTGGAAAAATTGTCTCTTAAGCCCTTAAGTAAGCTGCTGAAGGCCATTTTTAATCCTTAAAAGATTTATATGGCACCTTTTTATACAATATATACCAACATTTGGCGGACTTGATTCGTCTTTATCATTGATAGAAATTCTAATAGGTCAAATATTTGTATGAAATTTCTTCTAGGGGACCATTTTCTAACGCTTAATTATATGCTTACTGAGTGGATTCTTCGAAGATAAGTATTTGCTTTTGCCTGAGTTTGTTGAACTCTTGATGTCAATTTTAATTCTTAGATAAATCTTCCTATATAGCAAACTGTCGTCCAGTAATTGATATGTTTTTAATTACCTACCATTATATATTAAAATCAATTCAATAAACAAGCGTCTTTAAGAGTTAACGGTTAATATCAAAACATCTCTCCTCGTAATATAGAAGAATAATTAGCGCTCGGGGTCTTGTTCCTTATTGAACCTAAGGAACAGGCCATTCGCGAGTTGTAAATACCTTCAAACTCAAAACGAGACCAAGAGCAAAAACTTTTAGTTAAAATGGTTAATAAAAATATTATTATCATATCATGGTTATCGCTCCAACCCTCGCCTTGAAGTAAAGGCATGAAATACCTTCATGTATAGATCCAACAACTTTCCCCTAACTGAGTGTCCAAGCTTTTTTTTTCTAGTTTCATCCAAAAGTCAAGCTTTGTTATAAATTCAAGAAATATCGAATTAAATATTGAACAGTGAATTTTTCTCTTCTAGGTCTTATGTAAGAACCGGCTTTAAGCCAGAGAACAATTAGTTTGATTTCAGTTTCAATTTTTGTTACCGAGGAGTCATTCAAGTTTGTAAATTAAATGAAAATGAAAGCCGTTTGCAAACGAGGAAAACAAATATTAACTTGGTCTCTTGTCATCTTAGAGTCCCGGTGAAATCATTTTAAAGAAAAAACAATATAAACCAGATAGCACGTTCTCTAAATGATAACAATTCGTGCTTTTAACGAAAATGAAAAGCTTTTTGTATTATTTGTCTTTTGGTAGCAATACACAAGTAGCCCATATTGTAAAGTGGTATTCAGAGGAGCCCTGTATCTTGATTAAGCATGGAAATCACTCTTCCTTTTTGTAATGTCATAAATGTAAATATTATTGCTTCTTTTAGCCACGATCCAGTGAGCCATTTTAAAGCAATGAATGGTGTTTAGCTATCCTTGGTTTTCACGTGACATCTTAAAAATCCAAAATAAGAAGGACTATTACAGTTTTGACGATAAAAACGAACTGCAAAACACAGCGTTTCGACCAAACTTCATTCATTTTCGAGTGAATAGTGAGAATTTTTGAGTGTGTATATGCGTGTGAGAAGTATAACGGACAGAAGGAACATGCAAAGAGAAGAAATAATTAGAAGCTAATTAAAAACCAAATTAAAAAAAGATTAAATAGCTAATTAAAAATCTTTGCACGAATAGAGTTTCAAAAAGTAGGCAGTCAAATTTGTTCGTACACTTCTTTAAAACACTAAAATTCATCGTAAGATCCCTCGGGGCCAAAGAATGCTTGTCACTAAAATGCTCGCCAATCGATGAAGTCGAGTTTCGGTGTTCTTGAACACGTTGGTGCAGATGGCCGCGTCTAAAACCGACATAACCTGCATCGCACAGGTCACATTTAAATTTGTAAACAAGGCACTGTTGGTTCAAAACCGGTGGCTCAGTTCGCTTCTTGTAATCTAAAATCTTATTCAATCTTCTGGCTGACTAATGCAGGCTGGACGGTCGTGTGGATCTTCTGACTCAAATCTTTAGGTTGGACACGTACAATATCGGCTGAGGCCTGATCTTGAAACTGTAGGACAACGCGAATGGGGTCTGTTCGATCGCTGACAGTCGCCGAAGAAACAGGTTGATCCGATGCTTTGGCGGCAATAAAACGTGAAAAAGTAGAGTTGACAAGTTTGTCAGGATATTTTAGTCGAGAAAACAATAATTTCAGTGGATCACATTCTTCAGAGAAGCAACAGCAATTGGATGAAAGCCGCAATGCTCGATCAAGCATAGGTTTTGGTAACCCGCGTTTATATCGGTCGTCTACATGGCTCTTGTAATGCAGCAGAAGGCCAGTATTTGTGGGTTTAACGTGCATCTTAGTCTCAACATGTGTGTGTTTGTTGAGCAGCTGGGTGCCCAAAAAAGGCAGCATACTTTTACTCTCTATCTCCATGGTAAACTTAATAGAGGAATGGCACTGGTTTAAAATCTCGAGGAAATTGACTGCTGATGTTATGACTGGCATGATAGTCAGTGTGTCATGAACATATCTCACATATCTCTTGTAGTATGTGGGCATCTTGCCCTCATGCTTCAAAGTATCCTCAATGCTGCACATAAAGAAGTTGGCTAATAGAGGACCAAGGCAGGAGCCCATAGCAATTCTGTCTGTTTGTTCATATGAATGGCGGTTAAAAAAGAAAAGTTGGTCTTTTGTCGCCGCTCTAAGATCGACAAGGTCCAGCTTATTGAGGTTAAGGTGGTGTGTTTCATTAAACCAATTATCAGTGAAATCCTTATCAGCGATTGGTTGTATGGTCTCCTCCAAGGGTACATCCGTTGTCAATCGTCAATTCGTGGACCTCATTCACAAACCCAAAGGTGTCGTTTATCGTATATTGGTTTAGAGCGAGAGCCATTTGGCGAGGGCATTATTTTAAGTCTGAGTAGCTGACAAGATAGGTCGAATAGCTAGTCTTTCTTGTGCGTTTTAGGCAAACCATAAAGATGGGCCAGCCTGGAACCTGACGGACGGACAGAGTTTGCAATTGCAGAGGGGAGCATTCGGCGAAAAAGTGATTCTAGTTCCTTCTCCTTTTTTAGCAAGGGATGTTAGTATTTTGGTGGTCTACCTCTACACTTTGGTCTATCTTGCAGGCGCTGCAAGGTCACGAAATTCTTCCGGTAAATGTGGTTCGAGTTTCCATTAAGCTTTCTCAAAGTTGGCCTTTATGTCAATCGAGGACACGTGTTTAGGGATGGAAAATTTTAAACCACGACAAAGCACAAGCTTTTGGAAAAAGGAAAGCTTGTACAAGGAGATGTTAATGATGTGTTCATCAACGTCCTCCTCTCTGGATATTTAGAACTTCGTGATAGTGCCTCTTGCGAAGTTCGGTTAATTTTTATTTATATTCAGTTTGGAATTTGGTTTTTGATTAGTTTCTAATAATTTCTTCTCTTTGCATGTTCTTATTGTCCAATTACTCTTCCAAAAAATTTTTATACTTCTTACACGCACATATATATATTCATCGTGACATTCTTACTATTCACTTGAAAATGACCGAGGTTTGGTTAAAACGTTGTGTTTCGCCGTTCGTTTTTATTGTCAAAAGTTTCACGAAATCGCTGTTACAGGACGAAAGATTTCCTAAACATTAGCTTTGTGGAAAGGTTTCAGTAACGTGGGTTTCTACATCTTGAAAATAGAACCATTTCTAATTTCGTAATTCTTTGTCGCTTGAGATTGAAATAGGCCCGAAAAGCTCCCTGAGCATCAGAAATATAAAGAAATGTGTTGAGATGAATGTTCACAAGTTCACAGTTGATAGCTAATCACTTTAATGGCGAAACAAAACAACATGGCCGTCATGTTGGTGCCCCTAGGATGAGCACCAAAATGACACAACATGGCGTCCCCGTAAATCGTAAAAAAAATTGTAACACGCGACAAATAAATAAACGAACGAGGTTCAACCTATAATAAGTAGTGCGGACCTGTAAGTCTCTTCATTGCAACCAAAATAATCATGATCAACTGTAGCTGGTGTTTGGTACCACTCTGTCCACGTTTTTAGATTCAGAGCTGAAAGCCATCACGCCTTTGTCTGTTGCGTTTTCCCGCGTTTTATAAAGTTTGTCTCTTATTACTTTGCGTTCTCACTGGCTCCTTGCGATATTTTCCCTGGTTCTGATTGGCTGTTGCGACTACTTTAATTTGGGTTTTATGACAATCATTCGAGATGCACTCTAGTTAATACAATTTATGATCTCAACTTTCCACCCACCATATGCATGTAAATCTGATTGTTTCTTTCAATTAACCCTTTAACTCCAAAGATCTGATTGTTAATTCTCCCCTGTAGCTGCTAAACATTTCCTTGTAAATTAGTTATGGGAACTTGGTGCTAGATCACGATAGCAGCTTCTACCTGATAAGTTTGAATATTCTCATTACCTGTTTGCTGAAGAATGTATGGATATTGTAGGGAGAAGTTTTATGTTAATCACTTCTGGGAGTTAAAAGGTTAATGGGAAAATTTTGAACATCCACCTGAGTGACACCAAGGTTACAGTTACGTGTATTAATTTCAACCCCCTGAAGTTGAGATCAACTGATACAAAAATATCAAATCCTTATAAACAAACATCTGATAACTGAAAATAAATTTTTTCTTAATCGTTTTTATGTGTACTAATCTCTTAGTAAACCATGTCAATCTGAATCTTGTAGTCAAAGGTGTAACGTATATTATGAGGAAACATTGCTATTGCTGACTAACCGATTATTCAGCTAAGCGAAATACTTGTAAATAAGTCGGTAACCAGCTATTAGTAAACGTAAAAGCCACCTTAAACAGCATTGGCTTTGCCTTTAAGAATGTCTACTTTGGTGAGCCAGCTGTTGCAAAATATCATCACATCAATGCAGAAACGTATTTCACGCTTTACTTACTGACATAAGCAAGTAGTCGGCTCACAGGATAATTATAAGTGTCTTCCTTATTAGGCCAGCCGGTCAATAAACGATTGGTACTTGAAGTCAAAAAGCTGTAAACTGGTGACAGTTGAGGAAAAATACCAAAAGTGGCAAAAATATATGGATCTATGGAGCTAAGAGGTATTTAAATCCTTTTGTAGGAGACATGGTGATGCTATTTAAAGACAGCGGACTAATCGAGCTTGACACGTATTTCGTGACATGCCTCGACGTAAGACTTATCACATGCCCCGACGTAAGAGTTGTTATCACGGCATAATTAGTTCGTAGCCTTGAGAGCCGTCAATCATCTATTATTACATCAACTCGTCAGCTAACAAAGTTCGGAAGCTTCAAATCCATTATTTTCTGATTATGTATTCAAAATATACTTTTTTCGACCGTTTTTTGTAACAGACAATTTTTGCATCAAATGTTAGAAATGTAGGTGTTTTTTGTTCCTTTTTTGGATCAGTCTTGCGAAAACTACGACATGATTTAATACATATCATAGCAAGAACTCTATTATTCGACCATTATCCGCATCGTTTACGATATTGATTGTCCAAAACAAATCGAAAATTCAAGACGTAACGTTTGTCACTTTTGTCAACTAGTTTGTTATTTTAACTACTTCAGTTACAAAAACATTTTACATCAGTATCGTTAGACCAGCACTGTCGAGGAAACAGTTGTTTATTACATTCGCCAGTCTCATATTTTTAATGTCCTTTATGGGAATTGATATCACCTGTTCCCTGCAAGCAAAATTTTCCTTGGAAGGTTCACTCTGGGATGGGCGAGTAAATGGATCCCTTGATACTCTTTATGCACCTCTGTCTTTGCGTCCTCTTCTGAGCGTGAACTCCATAAACCGTAGCAACTGCGATGAGATCGTCGTTCTTGTAAACAAATTCAGCGAAACCGTCTTTATCAATCCCTATCGTGCTTTCATCCCAGGCGCAGCCACTTTGCATGGCAAGAGGCGGTTTGAGTTTTTGCGTAATACAGCAAGTACAAATAAATTTGTATTTGTTCAAATCGAGTGCTGCAACTTTGTCGCGCATAATGTCTACTAGTTCTCGTGTTAACGCTGCGCATTCGCTCGCTACGTAACTTCTTCCTTTAAGTTTACTCTCCAAAACCTCTTGGAGAAGCTTTCTGACATTTTCTTGCTCGAATCCAATTGGAATCTTTCGCTTTTCAGGTTCGAACGGAAGGGATTTCGAGCGACTCCGCAAAGGATAATCAGCATGTGTCATGACGGCGACACCATGGTCTCCCTCTCGTATCTTGGGCAACTCTTTTGTCTCGAACAATGAATGCCTTCTTCTACGCATAGCAGTGTTCTTTGCAAGAGTTATTCCTTCAAAATCCTGAGCAATCTTTGATGTGGATATATTTGACTCCATGTCAAAGTTTGTACATGCCTCGAGTATACACACCTCCTTCACGCCTTCTTTCGGGCCGTCGCTCATTTGACGCCGACTTGTTCTCCTTATAGCTTCGAAAGTGAATCCTTTTTTTCCTGTTCGTGTGCTTTAATCCTCCTCTATGTATCTTTCTATCTCAAAAGTCATCAGCGCGCATCACGACAATATTTTAGTAGAACACGCAAACCTTCGTTTCGCTTGCATCAGTATTAGTGACAAGTCTTCAAACACAATACGCACCTTGTTTATGTCCCTTCAAATGTAAACAACATTCCGTCATGATCCATTGAAGTAGCCCCAGGGCACTCGACTAAGTGCTACCTTCACTGGTTTACGTTACCTCACCGAAAAAATTAAATTTGTGAAATAACATTTTTTCAAGTAACGAAAATTATGACCCCGTCACAAGTAATCAATGCATTTCGATTGTGGAAGCTGACATCGCTCTCTTCGGTCCACTAAGTCAGTCAATTGTTGGTGTGAGATACCGTAATTAAAAAGATATTAACAGCAGTTCAGAGTCTCCTACATAGAATTGCTGTTTATCCCGTGACAAAATCTTTCATCGTGCCAGAAGACGCATGAGTTCAATGTAAGTGCAAATATTTCAAACAAAAATGTGTCTTATTCTTCGTGTTGTCACCAAGAAAAAAGAGAAGAAAAAGGGTACGATAAATAATATTTGGACGGATCAATTTTTGACACATGTTTGAGCAGACACATTTCAAAGTCTGTGGGCGTCTTTGTTATGATAATTCATGTTTCGTGCGCCTAGAAAGCCGATATTCCTTTGGAGAATGAACAACAAAAGGAAATAGACAAGCAAGGATTAACAAAACAGATCACTACACGAATACAAAATGTTAATTTTACCTGTAATTTCGCAACACGAGGAGTCTGTGCGGACTTACTTAATAAGGTTCGGGTGTGCATGGTGGTAACTTTTAATTTGAAGGAGCTTCATAAGTTATGTAAATGATGATAATTGACTCTATTGAAACAAATCCCGGCGGTGCTCAAAAAACTAATTTAAGTAGATTCAAGTGAGACGAAAAGCTTAGGACCGTTTACCATAAGAGATCAACTGTAAGTGTTTCAGTAATAATAGCTCTTAACGGTACACAAACGTTATCCCACAATAGAATAGTCCAATCATGTCGCGTGTTTCACACTGAGGCGGTGTCCATCTGAGGCGGTATGGGATAAAAAGCTACGGAAATGTCTATAAATAACATGATCACTTCCTGCGGAAATCAACTAGTGTGATATAGATCACGTTTCGCTTGCATCAGTATTAGTGACAAGTCTTCAAACACAATTAACGGTACACAAACGTTATCCCACAATAGAATAGTCCAATCATGTTGCGTGTTTCACACTGAGGTGGTGTCCATCTGAGGCGGTATGGGATAAAAAGCTACGGAAATGTCTATAAATAACATGATCACTTCCTACGGAAATCAATTAGTGTGATATAGGTCACGTTATGAGATAACTGAGATACTCCGAGCACCCTGATTGGTCAAGAACTAACCTTTAACTGCACTTATGAACTTTTTACTAACTCAAGGACTTAAGAAATAGACCCACTTTCTATCGGTTGCTCGGCCTTTTATTTAACTCGACATTCGTTTATTAATCAAATAATTTTATTTCCTAGTCGAAGCGAAAAGGAAAAAGCTTAAAACTGAATTACACACGTCGACGAAAAATCACATGTATGTTATCTGGTAAAGGTGCAAACTGGTAAACCAAGTTTAACTCAGTGATGTCCTGTACAAACAAATATTATTTCAATAGATTTTGTAAAGCTAATGACAAAATGATACGCATCGTGACTGTTCGCGACGCGATTGCAATTGGGAGAACACTCGAAAAGTAGGAATAACTAAACACACAACGGCATTGGTTTGCTTGGTTCGTTTCTTTGTGGCCTTATTCCATTATAAACAAATCTACAAGTCTCCAAAAGTAGCCCGACTAATGAAACCTGAATACTTTAAAAGTGAAATTCATATAAGTTTGCGCAGTTAAAGGGCTAACGTAAAAATAAATAAATTACTCCCTCAAGTTACAAAAAGCGGCCCCAAATTGTTAATATCAACTGACTTATTAAAGATTCGTTTATTTATGCCGATATTGCGGCTCCGACTGCCTTTACCTCAAGAACTTCTATTGTTTTTAGGAATTTTCAGAAGTTTAACGAAATGAGTATACACCAAAGCGAATCTTCGTTGGTGATTAAGAATATAAATCTGACAATAAACCTGCAACAGTGTTCATAAAAGTTAGTCAGAATTGTATTAAAGGAGCGTGGGCGGAGTTAATATGCCAAGCCTCCAAACAAAGGCACTGTTGGTAATGCCGATTAGTGGTGATAGTTTTAGAATTATCCCACCCAATTGTATGGTTGGCTAGGCATGTGTGCTCCGATAAAGCAGAATTTTCCTTTTTGCAAAAGAAAACCGCTTTTTGATGCTCTTTCAAACGTGTACCAAACTGACGTTTGGTCTGGCCGATGTATTAGTGGTCACAGTCATTGCATGGAATAGAATAAATGGCGTCGGTTTGTTGTTCTTTCGTGTTTACCAAACAGAGAGGGAAACACGACAGAAAATTCCGTCATTTGCTCAGTGAGAGGTCTCCTGTTAATTCAGGCTCATCTCTGAAAGATAAATGGGTCATGAACCTTTCCTCCAAGGAGTTATCCGCGCTGGAACAGAGTGGTTTAGAGAAGGGTCTGAAGTTTGCTATTGCCCCCTCGCAAAATACCGACTGCCGAAATTGTCGCCGCTGTTGAGGAGAGTATCTCTCAACTCAACGACGACCATAGGCATTTGGTAAGAGCCAAAGTAAGCAGCATACTCAGGCGTGCTAAACCTCCTCCCAAAAACCTTCGAAAGGATGTTTTCAATGCGCTTATAACTCTTAAAAAGGATACGGACAGGATCGTATTATCTGCTGACAAGGGTAATTGTGTTGTGGTTATGGACAAACGGCAATATCACGACAAAGCTTTGTCTCTGCTTAATGACAAGAGTACGTATGCTGTCTTTAACTCTGATCCTACCAGTAAAACTCAAAGAAATTTAAACAAAATGTTGCTTGATTTGAAAAAAGCTGGTAAAATTAGTGACTCTACGTACAAAATGTTATACAGTAGTGACGGCTTATGTCCACGTTTTTATGGCATACCTAAAATTCATAAACCGGGAATCCCTTTGAGACCCATTTGTTAGTTCTCCGACTTATGCAATTTCTGGTTATCTTGCGAGAATTTCGTCGCCTGTTGTTGGGAATGCTGATTACACTGTCAAAAATTCCTGCGAATTTGCGGATTTTATAAGAGATAAAACTCTTAACGCTTGTGAAGAATTAGTATCTTTCGACGTTGTTTCGCTCTTCACTAAAATCCCAGTTGATCTTGCCGTTAAGGTTGCGGAGGAGAGACTCAGAGAAGATGCCTCCCTAGGACTAGACAAGTGTCTACCGTAAAACTACCCACACCGACAAATACCTCGCTTTCGATTCTCACCACCCTATTTGCCATAAAAAGTCTGTTGCCAAAACTTTACTTTGGAGAGCTGACTGTCTACCATCTTCACTCGATTCGAAGGCTGAGGAGAGGAAATATGTTTCTAATGTCCTAAAGGCAAATGGCTATACAAAAACCTTTCTCCGTAACTGCCAAAAACCAGTTACAACTAGTAACGCTCTTGATGAAAGGGAACCAGTTACTAGTTTTGCTGTTATCCCTTACATTCAAGGTGTTACCGAAACCATCAAGAGAATTTTGAATAGCCACAACGTTAAAGTTGCTCAAAAACCTTTTCAGACTTTGAGGCATATTTTCGCCAAACCTGAGGATCCTGTCACGAAACGGAACAACGAACGACGCCAACCCGCGAACCGTCAGTCACGTTGCGTATCATTTTGTCACTAGCTTTACAAAATCTATTGAAATAGCATTTGTCTGTACAGGACATCACTGAGTTAAACTTGATTTACCAGTTTGCACTTTACCAAATACAGAGGGACTTAGCCAATTTAAGGAGACTTCGTAAGTTCGCTTGGCTCTTTGATTTCTAGCGTTGAGTTGGTTTTTTTAAGAATCTGACCAATGTCCGTCAAATACACCGAATCCTTCAACATAGCAAGTTTGCATAAGTTGAGGTTATATTTATAAGTTTAGCAGTGTGAAAAAACCGACTCTCGCCAAAATGCTCAGCACTTGACAAACTTAAAAAAGGGAACTCAGCGTGTTTGCATGAGTTTAGGCGATTTGAATGATTGAACGAAACATTTGTCCTTGAAAGTCGGCATAAATTAAATAGAAAATCAATGGTGTTACAGTTCTAGCTGGGAGCTCCTTGGCCACTCGCAATCCTTTGTTTTTCCGTGCTTGCCTTGTCACCTGAATCAATTGATGCTTGTATCATAGCACATGATGGGGGTACGATTGACCCTTGCGTAGGATAAGGTCATTAAGCGTATATCGATGTTTTTGCGCGGATTCCCACATTTAAATCTTGTCCTTCCTTTTATACCCTGGGAAAATTAAAAAAATGTGTCAGATACTAAATTATTCTTTCTTAATGCCCTAAAAATTATCAGCAGGCCGCAGGCACAGATCCATCTTAACGATTAGAGACTGTCATCGACACACTTCGGAATCATCTCTTGACCTCAGCTCTCGAACACGAACTTCGTGGCGTGACCAATATAACTAATGATATGCGTAATCCCGTGGGACCGTTTCGTTACGATCGTAAACAAAATCAAAATGGCGTTCACTCTAACCAAGCTTGTGACCTCGTTCCAGTCAGTTTTTCAGAGCCATTCAGGGGCAATCAGAAACACAACTATAACTCTGATAGTTTTTGGAATCAACGCCGTTGTTCAAAGCGAGGATTTTTTTCAATGTCCGCCAGATGGTTTTGCTTTGTATGCAAGCTGTTTCTTCATCATTCCAGCTTTGTTTTTATTTCTCGTGACAATATTTCTTCATAGCGGATTCTGGGATCTTGTGCGTGGATGTTGCTTTTACGAACAGCAGCAAAGAAAAGGATTAAAGCGTTACTGTTGCTGCTTCTTCCCTCGCTGGCCATGCAGCAGAAAGCTCGTGGAAATCATATTTCAGAGTTCCTTGTCTGGCTTCATTTGGATTTTCTGGGCATTGTTACAACGAGACTATTTTATATGTGCAGCTCTCGGAGGAACGAAAGAAGCAAAATTGCTTTCGGCTTCACCTCAGGAGAAATTAAAAATCGAAGCAGATTACGCAAATGCGGGGAAAAATTCGCAAACAGCCGCTTTATTGCTCCTCGGTTGTTCTCTGCTAGGGGGTTTCCTTGTTATTTCCATCCAAAGATGCTGTTTCCAGCGAGAAATCGGCTCATTGCCAAGTCCTTTCACCTACAAAATACTCGAAGCAGAAGCAGCAGTTGAAGCATTTAAAGAAAACATGGAAAAGCTGGCACGAGAACAAGGAAAGAGACGAGCAGATCTGTATTTTACCACTGTGCAACAAAATCCTTCCGACATACTCAGAAACGCTTATCAGCATTTGGTCGCCATAAATAAATTCGAAGAAGCGTTTCCATCTTTGGAGGATTATCAACATCTTCAAGCGCAGGCAGCTGTTACTGCTTTTAAGGAAAAAGTTCAACAAGAAGGCAAACAAAAAGTCGACATGACTTTTGTTGATACAACCTGGCACGAATTTGAAGGAAATGATGTGTTCTCGCTGGTTGGTCAAGCGCACGAAGCTATGGCAGAAAGATATCCTCGATCAACAGGCGACAGGACGCAGCCATACGTAAAGGAGAGGGATGATTCGGACGACCTCAGGGGAATCGTGTCTCGAGGAGGAAGAGGAAACGATGTTGAAATGTTTCCAAGAGCTTAACTGAGTTTACTGAATTTATTATCGAAAAACTGGTCTTCCAGTACCTCTTATGACAAAGTAAATTTTTTACCTCTCTAGCTTAGATAGAAAAGTAACTATGAACATGGACAGTTATTTAGATATAGCAAGACCAGAATCATGGATACTGGTGAACGTGTATCGTGAAACGTTACCTTATCGATAAGTGCAATTTTATATTTTAACCAAATGTTGCCTTTGCATGTAATTAATAATTAACAGTTCAGATGGCTATATTTTTAGCCGAGCGGAACCATTGGATCAAATCAAAGCCCTATGTAACAAAACATTGTCCACGAGAAAGCTCATTAAACTGCATGTATTTCTAAACTGAAAAAATTCTTCGAAAGCCGCGGCTTGACTGCATGAAAATGAAGCATTTGTGCCGATGTAACCAACACTACATTCGATTCCGGGAAAGGAAAGGAAAGAAGAATATTAACGTGGAAAAGAACGAAGATATCGAATTAACTCACACACAGGTACTTTGTGGTAGCTTGTTAACTGTAACCAAAAATAAACTGTATCGGTGCCACAGATTTCTATAGTTTTCAGTTAGTGTACTCTGTCTACCTGTTAGTACAAAATGCAGACTGCAGACTGCAGACCAGATATAAAATGCAGACTAGGTATAAAATGTAGACTGCAGATCGCAGAGTGGGCACAAAATGCAGACTGAGAATCTAAAGAGTTTTTCCGTCTGGCATGTGATAACATGTCATGTTATAACTTACCGAACGTCACGCAATCGCTTTTCCACGATCAGCTTTCACGATTATTTGCACTATTGTGCAATATTCCTGGCCCATTTCGTGATCAAAATCGATCTTAATATAATTTCAATCCTTCATATGGTCTTCTCACTTTGCACGCGAGTTGGTAGGTGTGATGTCTGTACAGGTTTTACCAACGTAATAAAAGTAGATGTAGATGTAAATGAGATGTCAGTTTTGAATATTTAACACGCGCAACATTCGAGAAACAATTGACAGCTTTACACGTGGTCCTTGTTATAATCTTTTTAAGTGGTATGTGTTTATTTTGTTGTCAAAAATGCGGACCTAGACCAAAACTGTTCCTTCGACGTTAGTTAATCACATCATATTAACTTACCTCCGTTAATCAATCGTCCTAGATAACAAAATCAAATAGACATGCTAACTTTGGTATCTGAATTCGTCCTTGGCCAAACACAAAAAACTCCACAAGATCACTTTCTCCAGTCATCGAAAACATACACAAAATTGTCCATAGTTCATTTTAATCAGACATTCATCTAGAGATAGCATCGAGCAAACCAATCCAGAAAAATATAACCGGCACACTCAACAAATAATGAATCTTGTAACACAGCTTGCCGTTAAAGAACTGCTCAAATCAAAATGTTTAGTGCAATTTATCAACACCTCAAGTAATATTTGATTCAAAATTGTTCCACTCATCCTTGTCGTGAAGGAACGATGACCATGACCGTGCTACAGTGCACAGGACTCCATTTTCTCTCGCACAGCTATCCGCCATTTCACAACAGGAGCGACACGTTTACTGAACGTAATCGGATATCTTTCATCTGTCCAGTAGTATCGCATTTCTCATAAAGCGCGGTAAAATGTACGTTAAAAACACAGAAAAGCCAACGCTTCTCATTCTAAATGATGATTCCATTATACAAACTGCTGTCTCCGAATCCCCCATTACGTCGTTGAGATTTGAACACTTCTCAAATCAAAGAACAAAAACGACGTTCTGATTAGTGCGAGATACATACCCTAAACGCGGCGATCTGATTGGTACGAGATACATACCCTAAACGATCTGATTGGTGCGCGAAATATACTACTCTCTATGCACTGACATAGATGTTATTTTTTTTCAAGAAAATAATAACTCAAAAAGGTTCCGATCATTTATCGTAGTGAATGAACTTGTTGTGAAGTACAAACTTTTATCTTGCCATTAAGTCACATCTAAAGTGAATCTCGATAGCGTCCACATCGGAAGAGACCAAATGGCGAGACAAAGTTTTATACAAATTGAGAAAGAAGATGGAAGGACGTACAGGTGTCCGCTCATAGCAACGTGTCGTCGGAGGGAAGTTTGATTTTAGAGAAAAAAAATGAATAAGTCGGAAAGGAGTGCTGCACTGACAAATGAAAAATATATCTGTGATTTAAAATTCTTCTATGAAATATATCTCTTAGAGCAAGCATCTGCGAAGTTTGCACTTTCACGAAATACTTCCTTGTCATTTACTTCTTCCATATTTCTTTAAGTTATAATCATTCTCTGAAGTGGAGGTCAGCTTAGATGTAAGAGCCTTAGTATCGGGGCATTTTGATTTAAAACACAATAATACTACTATGATCACCAAAAAATACCCCATTGCATTCTTTTACTCACAAGAAGCACCAGGCTGAGCCAGTTCACAAATGTACTCCCCTGCCACCCTCTGAATACATTAACATTTAGAGGAACCGAAATGTCAGTGATCGAGCCCGCGTTATGGCTGTAGTAGATTGGGGACTACATCCCGAATATTTGCCTCTCAGTGGGTTATTTTCGACATTATCAGCGAGTCAAATCTAAGTAAGCTGTACACCAAGAGAACACGAAGAGCTCATGGTCTTATTCCCTTCTCTCAGTCGTAAATATCAACAGGAGCTCTTACATCAAGATGCATCAACATATTTAGAAATAAGATCCCAAAAACGCACTCAGGAAGTTAAGGAAAAATTTGGAGATAAGAAAACACTAGTTATTTTGTTTCCAAAATGGTTTGCGCCGAAAACATCATCGAGCAGTCGCTAAAATGAGCTTGGAAGAGCAACCAATCTTTTAAAAAATGTTAAATGACCAGCTTTATTTTAATTCAGTAACATTGTGTATCACATGCAAGTGGCTGAGAGGGCTACATCATCTACTATTTTTACTATTCCCACGAGTGCAGTAAGACAAACGATCTCTGACTTAAAATTTCCTATTTGGATTTTTTAATAAAATATGAAAATTAACTTATTGATCATCAAAAGGGCTTTTATTATATACTTAACAAATTTTCTCAATCCTGATTGGTCAGTTAACAATGATGATCTTAAAAATATTGCGAAAGACCCTGGATTTGGTTTTTCTGTCACAATTATTTCATTAAATGACCTAGTGGAAAAAAAAATTTCCAACCGGTGTTAAAAGTGTGCATCGAGGAAGTACGCGAGGAAGTACGTTTGACTTGCCTACGGACCGTGCATTTACGAAAACTTTCAGCACATAACTCACGAGATGCAGTCGCTTTAATGCAACTTCCCAAACACATGCAATTTTTGAGGTACAAGAGAGCGAGAGAAAGAAATATTTCCTGCCTTATTGAAAGAAAACGTAAAACGCTTTCAATAAAACTTGAGCAAAAAAACAAGATAAAAAGTTTTCTGTGGAAAAAGAAACGGCTTTCTCGATTCGCTTGTACGCCTCTTACTCCTTCTTGCTTTAGTGATGACTGGAACGAAATTCAGCCGCACTATTTGACTATGGTTATTTCATAAAGGTCCTTCCATAGTTCTTTTCGTTCTCAAAACTAAAGTTTAATATTTGGTCAATATAGTCTCGAATACTCACAATGTGCGGAGAACGCTTTTTCGTTAAGCACTTCATGTATTCCTATTTACATGCATAATTGTGCAATACCCCTACAAATGTAAACAGTCCCAAGTGAAAAGTCAGCAACCATTTTAGATATCTTTGACGTCACTGAAGATAAAGTTATTAAACTATTGAATGATGAGGCTATTTTAGTGTGGATTCTTCTATTTACCCAGAGGGACGTCTAATTAAGTCCTAAGTGGCACTTGATAACAAAACACGTTTTCATGGTGAAGAGAATAAAGGACTCTAATGATAATCAAGGCACGTACAAGCCCACACACAAAGTAAACAACACCACAAAGCGTCGTTGCGTTTTTCAGCAAGCGATTGCGTTTTCTGTTTTGATGCTTCATAAAAATGCAAAAATCGTTAATGATTTTCATATTATTTTAATGACCAATATATGAAGAGCCCAGATATCTTAAAGAGCTTAGTATCTAAACAGAGGCTTTCAAAGTCTCGAAAAGGCACTGATACAACGATGCGATGTCTTAGAAATAAGCTCCATGCATTCGTAGTGATAAAGATAAAACCTCGATATGCTATGGTGTGGTATATTCCTTCCATTTGCATGCTCACGAAAACCATTCCGTTTCTCCTCATCGATTCACAGAAATATGAATCTTAACCCACCCATTCATCTTTCCTCGGAGGTGGGACGCCAAACATTCTGTCGCTTGATTCGTGACTTCTACGAGCTGGCTCTGACATGACGGCACTCCTTGCCTTAGGTACTGATGTGCCTTGAGTGTAGAGGTTGTCCAATACCACTTTCCTCGTGGGAAACCTGCGGCAAGAAATAACAAAAACGGAGGCAACGGCAACAATTGTTTGATTTTTGTAAACGTAATCCACGAACGCGTCCTTTTCCACAGTGCTCTTCATTTCATCCCACGCACAGCCACTGTCTATCGCCAAGGAAGGTTTGGCACGCTTTGTGATATAGCACAAACAGATCATTTTACAGCCAGATAGGTCAAATGTGCTGCTCAGTTTTTCATTTAGTGTCTTGGCGATCTTTTTCGACGCAATTTCACACTCTTTTAAATCGTAGGATTTGAACGACAGCTCCATGTTCAGCACCTGTTCCATCATTTTATGGGCCATTTGCTTGTCGAATTGCAACTTTCTGTCACGATTTAACGCAGAAAGCGACTTTGCCCTGGCTTTCGGAAAGTCTGCATGCGTCAACAAAGCGTTCCCATAGTCTGTTTCACATCGCTGTGGGACGAAGAGTGATTTCCGCCGCCTGTGAGCCCAGATTTTTACATTCGCCACTTGTCTTATGGTCAAACCGGTCGTTTCTTCCTTAGGCGAAGACACTGGCGTCAACGTTGCTGGATTTAAGGACGACTGCTCCATGCCAATTTGAAACGCTTGTAGTCTCAATACAGTTTGCTCCACACTCTTTGATACTGATTTCTCCACACTCTTTAATATTGAGTAAACCTGTTTGACAGAGAGGAAATCATAAAGAAGATGTGAGAACGCTGTTGACTTTGAATTAAATCAACTTTTAATCGAAAGTGAACTTTAAGAAAAGTGTCAGAAATGGTGGGCTGCAGAAGCAGTGACTTGTGATTTCAAGATATCAAGAACCCTGATCTGGGCGTTAACATCTTGTACGCACCTGCCACAAAACAATTTCTTCTCGTATTTGAGTAATCTACAACAAAATCGAGATGATTTAAGATGTGCAGCTCCAAAGCAGAACAAAACGTTCCACAAAATTGACAAAAAATAAGATTCCACGCACTTACGCGCAACTAAACAAAACTTCACTACTTCACTACTTTCAAAGAGAATAGTGCATTGTGCAACGACCAATCATCTTTTAACAATTCCCATGAGTGTTAGTAATTATTGTGATTCACGAACGCAATTGGTGCCCAAGGCATTGTTTAAGAGAATAGAATATAAAAGCTTGCTTACGCGAGACCGTAGAAAAAAAACATTTGATATTTGAAATTTGTTTCAAAATTAAGTAATCCCCTAATTTTCTTAATTGTTCGCTTTTAATCTTTTGAAAATATCGCATTTCTAAGAGATAAGGAACACTTACCATATTGAGCAGAGCACAATGCGAAGACGGTCTACGAAATGTTTCTCGATAAGCATGACAACTTGTTCACTAAATGGACCATGAAAACACTCTAAGATGAGAGTAAAATACCAGTAAACATCCAAATTCATGTAATGTCATTGTAAAAAGAGATCTGATTAAGCTTGTAGCATATGGATACACGGTATCAAACTTTCTTTTCGTATTTCTATTTCAGTTGGAAAACATGGAAACAAAAGTGTACAGGGGAACTGTTAAAAGTGTGAACAGGAAGAAGTTTGTTTTCTTTAAAACCTGCGGTGCTGCGTCGCTAGGAGGTAGTACATGATGATTATCAACTGAGTTGATAACGTAAATTGGCTAACGTCAGAAGTTTCTAAAGCTGACATTTCCAGCGTTAGCCCTTTGTTCGAGCGATTGACGAAGGGCTAAAGATGGATATGTCAGCTTAAGAGAACCTGTGACGAGTGTGATATAGACTGCGCATCCAGAACATCTTAGAGGAAGAATTCAGTATGATGTCTGGGCCTACCCCAAGGGGACTGAGGGGGTGGGGGTTTTTTGACTCAATTTGTGACATGACATTACTAATTAGGCCACCAATTTTTTTAATACGGCAGAAAACTATAAGGCTAACATTTTTAGAAAGAGGAGATTTTGCACTTTCATTTAGTGCAATGAACTAATACGTGTCTTACAGAAAAAATATGAAAAATCCAGAAAGGTAATAAAACGGATTTTTTTCCCGAACCGTCCTTGAATTAGAGAACAGAACTGAAGTGAAAATTTTGTCAACACAATAACTGTACACAATATCAAGTTCTGTATACACAGAAAGCTTTTCCTAGCACAAAATAAAACACTATCGTTCTTCTTTTAACCATATTTAGTTGCAAACTTGATGTCGATCAGTGGTCTCAAAATCATTTTAGTGTTCACTTGAATCAACCATAAACCTCGCTAAGTAAATTAATGTTTTGATCAAAGGAAACATAAAATCATCTTGATCTCTTTTGAAGTGGTCTGCCTGGACCATTTCTTGGTCTGCCACGACCATCTTTGAGTCTCTTGGGACCATTTCTATTGGTCATCAAAAAGATAACTGTGCAGTGTGTGGTAGCGCTCAAAGCAAGGTCCTGGACACATACGCACTTGGCAAACTGAGCACTCATAGACTGTTTCCACTCGTTGAATATGTATTTTACAGTTTCTATGAGTGTCAGTTGCCACAGGATGCTGAAACTGCTGGAGTTCGAAGCGGACATCCTGTACTGCTACATTGCCTCCAGAAAAGTTGTTCCGTCGAAAGCGTTTCCTCCTATCAGTTCCCGCGCAAGATTCTCTTTGAATTTGACAAGGGTGACTCTTGGATGGCCAGCTCTTCTAAACATGATGTGGGCATTCAACACAGCAACTTCAAGCATATGAAAGTAAATTTTGTGATACCAAATATTTCCTTTCATAAACCTGCAGCAAATTGCTATGCGTTGATCACCCAAATCAACTCCTCCCATATGGGAGTTGTACAGGTAATCAACTGTGGCTGTGCGATGTTCTGCCTTTGCCATTGCCCACATGACTTCACCCTTCTCTCTACCTGTCCAATTCCCAAACCCTCAGGGAGAGTTGAGAGTAATGTACCATCTTTCGGTCCTTCCATGTCACACAGATGAGCTTTCCGCTTTGACGGAAAAGTGATTCTCCCCAGTCGAGGCTTTTGACCTGCTCGCATCGCTGGTCAACAGTGTCCTGAGGTAGGCACTTTCTATTTCCCCTCACTGTTCCACAGACTTTAATTCCCTTTTTTTCCAGTTCTAGAAAGAGTGGTACACTGGTATACCAGTTGTCAACAAACAATTTGTAACCTTTGTTGAAATAAGGCTCTGTTAGCTTCAGAACAACTCGCTGAGCCAAATCCTTGCTTGCTGCTGGACCCTCCAGCGTATCTGGGCACAAGAGCATCTAAAAATGGTCTCATTTTCCACAGATTATCCCTGTTGGGATTTGTCTGGTCTGGGGTATTGCAATTATTTACAAAGTGAAGATATCCCTGAATATGAAGTTAGTAGTCTCTTGACATGGTGTTAGAAAACAGTGGAATTTTGGTGACCGAATCAGTTGATCAGTGAGCTTTCAAATTGCTTTTTTTGACAAGACCCATTGCCAATGTGAGCCCAAGCCAAGCCTTTAGCTCTGGAAGGGTAAAATCGTGGAGATCACCTAGAGAATTGTCCTCAAGCTGCCGTTTTTGATGCTCAAACCGTTTGGTCTCACGTAAAATCAGCTGATAAACATCATCAGTAAACAGAGGTTGGAAGTAATCTAAACAATTACTGTCATTGTCCATTCCTACTCTCATACCAACCTCTTCGCGAAAATTTACGCCTTCTGGGGGTTGTATAACAGATGTCCATCTCATATTGGAGTAGTTTTGTTCCTCTTCATCGCTGTTGTCAATTTCTCCATCACTTTCTCCTTCCTCTTC